ATCCTGCAGCCCTTTTTTCCCATAGATTCAACGTCGTAATCCAATCGCTATTCCAATTCTCTTTATATGGAAAATGTTCCAATCAGCCACATTTCTTAGATTTGGGTGTGCGGGCGGTGTAATAGATAACGACTCGACAAATAAATCGAAGAAGTGAGTTCGAATTCCAGCCGAGTTCGTTGCATTCACTTACGCGCAAATACCCTTGCGAAAGCTATGAATCACTCACTTCTATCCCAGCTATGGGTTAAATAGTGGGGCTTGTATTTGTAAGAGTCATTGTCATCACACCCCAAAAATGGAATTATTCTGGCAATTCAAAATGTTTCGACTGTAAATACAGCCGAAAATGGTTGATAAGTAAAAAAGATCTTGATAAGCCGTAAAGAAAACCTACTTCCGTCACTTCAGGCCTTTACCCGCTAACCAGGAACACGGGAGCGATCTATCTTCATTCCCGTCGTAATTGGTGAGATGGATGTTCCTTTCGGACAGCGTTTTTGGGGAAAAGACTCCCAAGTGGATGCTTCCTCAACCACTATAATCTCCGCAAGTCAAATGTTAGACGTTATATATTCTACATATCTTCATAATCTATAATTCGTGCGTTCATAAAATAATCCAGTTCAATAATACTCTACCTTGAGTGGTTCTTGGGCCTTGTATTGGATGAACAATAGCGTAAAGTAGTATCGGGTAACCAGATTAGCTCGTTATTCATAACCTTTTGGCGAGACAGCTTTTATGTTTATTAAGCTTAGCTTAGTTTCGCACAAGGCTACAAATATAGGGCACCCATATATCTCAGAAATGCATATATCGCATTATGTGGCGGCCACACACCAATGTGACTAACATAACCATCTTAGCAAAATGATTTTGATGATTGCTTCGGGGATTTTTATTGTACATTAACTATTTTCAAGTAATGACATCATTTAATCGTTATGATGTTTTTTTGAAAAAACATTGGACGTGAATTTCCTCAAAAATACTGCTTTGGTTTTCATTATAACAAAATTTAAAAAAATGGAATACAGGAAAAGATAACAATGAATAAGTAACAGTTTCTTGCGTATTTTTCTTTTACAAAGTCACTAACGCGTTCCATGCATGTTATTCTCAACATGCTTCCGTAGAGCATTTATTTTCCAACTTTTCATCTATGCGGTGATTGTCATGTATTCACTGCTATATAGATAAATTGACATCATATAGCTTTTCAACGCTCTTTTCATGTTTCTTAGTACGTTGCTTATCTTCTTGAAGGCATCTTTCGCTATTCTAATGCGCGTTCGGACATCAGTATAGCATTTTCTATCTTCTGTTAAAACACTTCCCAGATATTTAGATATGTATTGTTTTATGCTGACATTTCCAATTCATACTTTGCTGCTTGGGCTTTTGCCCTTGTTGACAAAAAAACATTCTGTCTTCTTATATTTGATAGCTAGTCCTTTCTTCTCGCTATCATATACTACGTTGTCTAGGAAATCCTGCAGTTTCTGTGTCTGCTATCAATAAGGTGTTATCTGCCTGTCGTATACTGTTAAAATTACGCCCACAGATAACAAAATCTTTGGAAGGTCTGCATCTCCCTTAGGATAGCTTCAGCGAAAAGACACACCCTTGTTTTTAAGCTCCTTTCAATTTTTTCTGTGCCTACTCAATTCAATTTCTATCCGTGTGCAGGTTTTACCCCCCCCCCAGTTCTTGATTAGTTAAAATAGTTCCAGTATAAACCGTACTTTGACTCGGGGGGTGGTTGGGTGGAGGGTTTAAATGGTTAGGGATCCTAAAAGATAATCATACAATTGTAATGAATTTGATCCGCATGTGGAGCCTGACTATTGTGTCTTTGAGCTCAGCAACTTTGCAGTTGTCTGTGTGAATGTTGAAGAAACACAAATATGCCTGAGAAGGTGTCTGCAACAGGGATTACTAGAAACTAACATTCAAATCAATAAAATCCGCAAGATTATTCGCCCTCTCTCAGAATAATATATTCCTGCCCAGCATAGAAGAAACATAGATGTGCCTGAGCGGGTGTCTACAACAAGGATTAGCTAGGAGATGGACAGAATCGGGCACGAGTAGGTCGCCATTGTGTTTTTGTTTTGTCTTAACAGAATTCAAAATGGCTTAGCAATGATTTGAACTCGGAGAGCCACGTTCGAAATCTAATCGAATTCGTTAGGTTCATTTACGCACACATACCCTTGGGGAAGGTATGAATCCATCTCTTCACCTCCAGCTATGGGTTAAATAGCTGGACAGACTGTGGTATTTAGCCTTGGTTCGCAACCTACTGTGGGAAAAAATATCTGCCTCGTCAGTCATGTATCGAAAGATACATGATCGCCTAAGCGTGTATCACATATGGCACTTAACTGCTGATGTGGTTGGTTGATTTTGTTTCGCGGCATATTAACACCTCTGTGGGTTATTTAATGTAAAATTCTAAATAGTTAAGCCTTTAACTATAGATATTTTTTACATACTTTCAGGGTACAGGTTTGTTTTAGATATATAGTTTCTATATTTTGAAATGTATTGTTGGAAATTTTACTATAAAAATGCATTTTTACACTATTTACATTATTCGGACTATTGTCCTCATATTTGTCGCCGTATTTATCGCAACGTTTCGGCCGTTGTACATTCCGGCCTTCTTCGGGTGGTTGGAATGTCGAACTGAACCCTTTATTTCGCTTGCTGGAGTAGACTGTTCTAGTTCCACGTGCCATGTCTAACGGATGTCAGTTATCAGTTATCTCCTGTTAATTGCCCTTTGAAATTTCTCCACTGCCTTCACCAGGTATCGAACTCGCACTCTTTGTGTCCTGTCACTGGATCTAACTAACGCCTTTATCCACTGTGCCATGTGTCCTTGATATAGACAGATACTAAATGCATTTTTATATTTTTAGTGTTGCATTGATTGTTCATTTTATTATAAAAAGGCACTGTTGGTTTTTTGTATAGGGGGTTCCTATTTGCCTAAAGCTGGGACCCTAATCGGTGCTAATACCCGGGTCAGGGTGGGGCAGAGAATAACTGCAATTAAGATGTGGTTCCATGCACCGCAAAACCTCTAGTTTCCCGGTCAGATGTATTTCAGCTGAATGTAGTTCAGGATGGTTGCTGGCGTTAGTGGGTGACTTAAATCTATGGCCTTGTACCAAACTATGATAATTTCAGTAAATTTTTACGCAGATATGTTTTTGCAGGTTTTCCAAGAAGCTGACTGCATTGTTCATTAAGAAGACGAAATATAAAAGGTCAAATACTAAAGACAAGTTCAATTGCTCATAAGCTGATGAAGGGAACAACTAAATTGAAACCACGCCTTCTTTTAGATGCGTCAAAACAGGAAAAATGATTATTGAATTTTTCTCCTAACTGCCCAATACATACCATAGACCATTTTTAACGATTTGAAATTAATTAATGAATATGTCGATGCACTTGATCCAAGAGATGTAATGACATTGTCAAAAGAAATTAAAAAATATATAGATGAAAAGAGGCGAAATAAAAACATGTTAAAAAGTAAAACAAATAAGATGTTTTCCTTCCCGCCTTTTCATTGTGAAAAATCGTAAAATGGCGGAAACTCTTTTATGTTCGTCAAATATTAATAATATTATTAGTTTTTTTTACTGTTTTTGATGTTATTATTAAATTTTAACTTTTTTTTTTCATTTTATTTCCTTTCCATTTGATCATAATTCCCAGATAGTCATTTTACACTTGTTAAGTCAGCAGCACTGACCACAATTAAGTAAAAGACGAAGGCCAGGTTTGAACACACGGCCTTTATATTTTCAAGTCAAGAATATTCCATTTCAAACGTAGCGAGCGATCCATAGTCTTTACTTTACTTTTCTGATTGATATGTTCATTTTTTTACAGCTTATCAACACTTTGCAGGTTATTTAAAGCCAGAAAATATTTTTAGATTGTAAGAATTTCGTTTGTAGATAATAATGGTTTAATGATACAAGTTTTACTAATTAACTTATTGGTGGGGAGCTATTACTAACAAATTATTACCTTGCAGGCGACCAGATTACGTTGATTCTGCAAAGTTATTGTTCCTGACAGTCACTTTCGCGCTGCTTTGATGTAGCTTCCTGGTACCTTTTCTATAAATATTTTCATCGTAATTGTTCTGATGAACTTTGCTCTTTGATAAATTGTGCATAGGGGGGAGTAGTTAGGACTTCATAGAGATTCTGAGGTATTGTGGTGACTGCAGTAAGAATGGTAAGTAAGAATGCAGCTCGGATTAAGGAATCAGGGAGCCGAGTTCGAATTCCAGTCGAATTCATTACATTCTAACGTGCTTATACCTTATATTCCTTACCTGCTAATACGCTTGGAAAAGGTATGAATTCTGTTCTTCCCCCTCTAGGAATGGGTAAATTGCAGGACAGACCGGGTTCTGTCCAATATGAAAATTTTGGTTGCGTGAAGGTAGGAGATAAATATGTATATATTGCTCTGTTCAACGTTTTCCTTGTTCACCGAGCACTGTATTGTACAGCTAACTTTTGCCATATTTGCTTGATATATATATATATATATATATATATATATATATATATATATATATATATATAACTATACTCGTTTCGAAAAACCCTCGAATTTGTGATTTGCCAATAATCAAATCAATCTCGAGGGGAAAAAAGGTTTTAAAAAAAGAAAGAGCTAGAAACATGAAAATCTGTCGAAAAAAATCGCACAGATACAGGTTTGAAGCCCAAAGAAAAAAAAAACCGACACGAGTAAACAACTAACAAAAGAGCACAATACAACCGTAGAGCAGACCTAGATAAACCTAGTGAGCTAGACAAACCTACCCTAAACGGATTGTCAGGGAAAGCCGACTTTCACTGACGATCCGTTTAAATGAAACCTAGGTAGGTTTGTCTGGCTCACTAGGTTATATATATATATATATATATATATATATATATATATATATATATATATCAAGATAGATAGATAGATAGATAGATAGATAGATAGATAGATAGATAGATAGATAGATATGTGTGTGTGTGTGTGTGTGTAGTTGCTATCGCGTTGTTGAATATGACCGTCACAAAATATTGTAAGACCTAGTTGTGCTTTGAACAGCTGTAAGTTTTAAACACACACACACACACCATTTTAAAAATATATATATATATATATATATATATATATATATTTCCTTATATTTATTTATTTTAATTTTATTGCAGACTTCCGCCTTCACTTTAAGAAAAAAGGACATTTTTGGCGATCCCGCTTTTATGAAAAATACTCAGAATTCATGGGGGAAATCCCAGCAAATTTTCTTAACCTTCTTTCTGCGCCATAATTTCCAATCACCAACTCCCAAGCCGGGCGACTAATTATTTTGTCTTCGGCATCACGGGAAAGCATTTGGTGTATGCTCGTGTGTACCAGCAAAATGAGCGTGTGGAGTTCAGGAACAGGTGACTTTTGTTTGTTTTGTTGTTGTTGTTGTTTGTTATTTTCTTAAGTTTTCCGCTCTTGTTGGTCGACGTGGCATCTCCTCATTGGTGGAGAGGGAATGCGATTCTTGTGCAGCATCTAATCAAGATGGGGCCCTCCATTTTCCGTCAAATTTTATCAGAGACAGAAGGGACAGTAGATAATTGGATCCTGAAAATTGAAGAAACCTATGCACCCACACTCACAGACGGACACACACACACACACACGCACGCAGACACACATATATGTATATATATACATATATATATATATATATATATATATATATATATATATACACGTATATATACACATATATGTATATAAAGGTACACATATACATATATATATATATATAGATAGCTATATATATATATATATATATATACGTATATATGTGAAAAGTGTGTGTATATAAATATAAATAAATAAATACATATATAGTTATTTTCCAAGCGTAGCTTAGATGTGGCACAAGGCCGAAAGTAGGGGGCACCTAGTGAGGATCGAACTCACTTTTCAGTTGTAACTGAAATAAATATATATATATATAATTATTCATATATTATATGCGCGGTACTTATTAGAAAGCGCTCAATATCAGAGCTAACATATTTGGTTTGTCTGACGATCACAAAAGCGTAAAACCCAGGGTCACAAACTCACATCAATCAAACCAAATATATACGTATATATATATATATATATATATATATATGTGTGTGTGTGTGTGTGTGTGTGTGTGTGTGTGTTTGTTTGCTTTTTAGACCTGTCCCCTTTAACTCGCCAGTAGTATATAAAGCCACACGAACACTCCTACACATACATATATTGTATATTTGGGCAGCAGTCTTTCTTTTATACATGTTTTATTGAAAATGACGGACATGAAAAATATGTTTCCTTTTTTTTTACTATTATTATCCTATTGTTCGTTAATCGCCGGGAATCTATTGCTTTGGGCAGAAATAAAAGCTTTTTCTTCGTTCAAAAAACGAATTGCATCTGCCGGGAAAGATAAATGTAACTTTCGACATTCTATTTTGTTAGAAGTAAAATAACAACAACAACAAAAAAGAATAAAAACAAAAGGAAACAAGATTAAGTTATTTTAAATTTCATATCTTTTTTGTTGTCTCTGGCTACTAATTTAAACGTCTCTTCTCGCTTAGGTAGAAGCCATTCTGCCATGGGTCCTTACCTATAACTACAGAATGAACTCTTCCTAACACTATGTATACTACGCCTCTCAACAGAGTGGGACGAATCGAATCGAGCCGATAGTAGTTCACTCCAAACCAGACTGACAGTCATACTAACACCTTCCATATCTTGTATTATTATTTCATGTAATATACCTTCGTTATTTCTACTCTTGTGTTCGTGTTGTTCTTCCTTGGTCCTAACCTGGGCCATAACACAGTCTGACTTAAATACCCAAATCGTTTGAAGTCTTCTTTCCCAATAATAGTTACAGAGTATCACCTAATCCACTATAAGTATTTGATTGATTGTTTTTGTTTGTTTAACGGCACATCGACTCCTGATGGGTCATTTAATGCCGAATTTTAATTTTCTTCAGAGCTTTGAAAGAATAAATATATATGTTATTCTGCTTTCGCAATTGAATACATGGTAAATGATACTCAGCTTTTGTGCATATACATGTTTGTGAGGACATGATCGCTAGAGGCGGCGTTATGTTTGTTTTATGTTGTAGTTTTGCTGAAGTTATATTTCGGAATACAGTTTTATTTAAGGAATTTTAGGATATCATATAGACTAATGTCATGAAAGAGATCTTTCATAGTGGTTTTTTGGTTCGTTGATTTTTTTTCGCGGTATATCAACACCTCTATGGGTTACTTAATGCGGAAATCTAAATATTTTGTACGTATTTTTTTGCTTTCGACAACAGATATTTTGTATATAATTGTTTACTTTCAGGTTAAAGGTAGATTTTATATATATATATATATCTTATAGATCATAAAATGTATTGTTGGTAATTTTAATATAAAAATGTACTTTTATATTTTTTATAAAAAATGTTGCATTGTCATTTTGCAAAAAAGCAAAACAACGGATATTCAAACAAAAATACAAAAACGAAAACAATTCAAACAAAAACAACAGAAAAAGAAACATAATTTTGTTCAAACCCATACAACAATAAAATAAAAGCAAAAATAGGGAAAAGATTCTTCAAAATAATAAACACACATTTCCCTAACAGCAAATTATCAATATCAATCAAAATTAATTACAGCTGCATGGATAACATGCAAAAAATAATAACTAAGCCCAATAAAAAATGCTGAACAAAACCAATGACAATCATACCAACAGTAACAATAACATCCAGTAAAATAACACCAGAGACAAAACATTGCCCACTGAACAATAAATGTTTAACCAATAACATAATATACAAAACCATCGTAACTATTGCTCACTCTTTTATAAAAATGTACTATTGATTTTTGTTTGGGTTTCATTATTTTCGCATAGCTGGGACCTAGAAAAAACAGTAATTAAGAGGTGTTTTCACGCTTTTCAAAACATACAATATCCCGATTAAAGGCCTTGCTGTCGGATGTAGTTTATCGTCATACCCAAGACGACCTATAGGCATTTCCTTAGTGTTACACTGCTACAGTAATCCTATAAGATATTGGGTAGGGAATGTTATCTCATTCCCCAGCAAACTTTGTTACCCTGCATTCTCAAAATGGGTCCATTCGAACACCCAAACGAGTGAGTATCTATGTCCGTGCATGTTTCCGACTCAAACAGAAATTTTGATCCTTTGATTACTTGTCAACAATTTAATTCCATAACAATCTACCTTGGTTGGTCCTTGGGCCTTGTGTTAGATGAAAAATTATAAAAATGAAAAAAAGTGTTTTTTTTATGTTATTTTTGTTGGTAAATGCCATCCTTTGATGTGAAGAGCCTCTAGAATTTCTTATCGATTTTGGCAGTTGAATGAACAAGCACTGTTGTATTTTTGACCATGTTGTGATGATAATTACAAGAGGACTTGTGAATTTTTTGTAAATGTTTCTTGTCGGAACTTTGCTCGAGGTGGAAACAGGTCAGTTTTTTCTTCGTAAGGAAGATGAAAATTAGGTGAATAATTGTGCTTCTGTTAAATAATTGTTTAGCAGACTAGTATTTTAGAGGGAAGTGTATCTCACTTCTGACTTCCCGAGCTTGACCTTCGAGATCAGATGTAAGACATAATAGAAAAGTCAATTTTGATTGGCTGAGCTAGCATGGTATTGATAGATAAACTTTTTTTTTCCGGGAGTTGGTTCTTATTCGTCAAGTGATACATTATTTAAATTAATCCTCAATTTTGTCGCCATATTCAATACAACGTTTCGGACGTTGTACACTCCGGCATTCTTCAGGTGGTTGGAATGTCGAACTGAACCCTTTATTTCGCTCGCTGGGGTAGGCTGTTCTAGTTCCACGTCTTATGTTTAATGGATGTCAGTTATCAGTTATCTCCTGTTAATTTCCCTCTGAAAGACAGATACCGTCAAGTGATGTAGACGTGTTCTCTTTCGTGTCCGGAACGGCTCCCTCAGTGAGGCGACCACCTCTGTATAGTTAGATAAAGTAGATGTTGAGATGAGTAATAAAAATAGTTATGTCAAAATTCTCTGTGTCGAAGTCTCTCATTGCCGAACCGAAACGACTGGTGATCATTGGACGATTGAAAAAACCGAACTGAGATCAGTCACTGCTCTCAATGTGCAACAATTCAGCTTGATCTGGTCTCTCAGATCTTCACGATTCAGAAGCTACAACTATATATCATTATAAATTGATTATTATTTAGGAAGAGGTTATTTTGCCGGTCCCAGTAAAATATACAAACGCGCTTTTAAGCTTATTTTACCGGCCTCAATAAAATAGTACCCCTGGCTATTTTTCCGGTAAATATTTTTTATTATTATGAAACAAGGTAATGTTAAAAATAACAACACACAAATTTACCACAGAAGCTTATTTATTTTCACCATCAATTGTTAAGAACATTTAAAATGTTTTCCGCCGTCACATTATTAAAACACAAGTTAAAATCATTTATTCATCATCAATTATTAAAAGAAATATGGAAGTCTCTGAATCGTTTAAGCATTTTTAGGTATAACAGTTTGTCCAAATCCAAAAACATTCCCATAGGTATGGTTCTCTTGTCAATACACTTCAGGTGCACCCACTGAAGACAACAGTCGCAGACACCATGTTGTTCAAGTCTTGCTTACACGTCTTGCATAACGACTGTTATGAAGATCTTAAATATAATATATTAGTTTTAATACAATATTTATATTTACTAACGAAATAGACTTAGTGTCTATTTTACAGGACCGATAAAATAGCCTATTCAAATTTTAAACTGCACCCTTTATTCTCATTCCTCTTTTTATGTCTAGGAATAATTTGTCTTGTTTTCTTTAGTACTATTCATTTATTATATGCCTTGTTTCTACTTAGTTCAAATCTGTACTACCTGGCCTCAGCTTTGGGTTGAACTCAGAATTACTATGCTACCAA